TGTAATTTCTTCGCTAAATTTTTTATAGCTGAAATAATTAATAAACAAATTAATTAAGCACACGCCTGTACTAATAATCCCACTTGTATTAATTACATTTCTTTACTTACCTGTTCAGGGAGATACATGTTACCTAGCTTCCTCATGGAATTGAGAGATGTTTTCCAAGACCTGCATGTACAGTTGCAGGGCTCAACTTTCAGGAAAAAACCTTGGGGCCAGCTAGCCCCTAAATTTTAAGATTTAGTCACCAGCAAAAGTATTTCAGTGATAAGTGTGAAAAGTTAGTCCCCAGTGACAAAACTTTGGTCGCATTGGCGACCTCAGCGGTTGCAACATCAAACTCTGAGTTGTATTTAACCCTACCAAGTTTCACCTAACTAAACACATAGTTTCTTAGAAGTCAACAAATTAGACAATTCATTTTTTGGAAACTCATCTAATCTTCTTTACATAAGTTGTGCTACAGTCCAGAACTCTCCATGATGGCTGCCTTCAGGGACAAAGAAAAGTGGCTGTCGTAGAGAGGTGGCCGTTATAGGGACAGAGGAAAGTGGTCGTTGTAGAGAGGTGGCTGTTAAGGGGACATTGGGGTGTAATATGATACCAGACCTGTTTATCTTTTTTGGATGCAACTTCTTATCTTTAAAGCCATGCTTATTGTAGCATGCAAGGGTTTCATTGAAGTTTTCAGCAGGAAGGCAACTGGTTTTCACAGGTGTGCGAAACTTTTTGAACTGAACTTCTTTAGAGGAAAACTACATGACTGTATCCTTAGATTATCAAACCAAGCGAGCAAAATCATCCTCACAGCTGGTCAACTTGCCCGTTGCCCAGCCCTTAAAGAAACCCCTGCCATGTAAATACATAACACAAAATACATTTATGTCAACAAAACAGAAACACAGACCAACGATGAACAGTATGGATCAAGTTTCGTGACCTCTTACAAAAGATAATGGAGTTTTGTATGCACCATTCATCGGTCATTGATTTACTGGCTGTTGTCAAGAGGTTGTTTTCTTGGCAGTTTGTATGGGTTTTACTGGTTCTTGCTTTTGTAGAGAGGTGCTGATTATAGAGGGGTGCTCATTATAATTAGTAGAGGTTTGACTAAGTGAATGCAATCATTACCTCTGCCTTTCTCTATGAAGTTGTTCTGTTTTTCACAATTCCACATGAAAATTTTTTTGGGATTTCTGATGTCCTCACTGT